TCGGCGAAATCCGTCCGCTTCTTCTATCGCTCTCTATCTCGCGGAGAGGAACGACGTCCACTCCGCTTAATGGCTGGCAATAATTGCTGTTTTTCAACGGAAACGGGCAAGGTATATGTGTCAGATCAGCCACGATGTGTTTCACTGGCCTCCGGCCTATGATAATCTGTCCTATTCTATAACCGTTCGGTGAATATCATTAAATTTTAACGATCCGTCTTATGGTATGTTGCGCCGCGCCGCGTCCTTCGATCTTTTTCTCTCTCTCTCTCCTTTTCTCTCTCCGTCTCACGTTTTCCGCGATTTCCTCTCCTCTCCCGCCACTTCCTCCAGCTAGCCGGACTCTTCGTCGTCCTTTGCTCTCTGCCTCGTTTCACTCCATTCCAACCTGCGTTTCTTTCGTTTCTCTTGCTGTTCATTTCCCTCCTGCCGACGATTTTCCCCAGGTTTTTCCTTTTTACTTGGTCAACTTTTAATGGAGGATTTTGTTTTGTCTTGCTATTTTGGAAGTCATGTGAATTAAAGAAATATATTGTATACTGGTGAGCGTGAATATTGGGACACCCGGTGTGTTGCTGGAGAAAGTATTGCGTGATTTAAACTACATTTTTTCCATAATTTTAGTAGCGCTTATCAGTGAAAATAGTTTTCTTTGGAGCTCGATAATTTTTTGACTATTTAGGTTGGTTTTCACATTCGGTACCTAAACGTCTTATTAGGCATTTCTCTAAAATAACGATCGTGAAATATTGATATAATATTCTTTGATCCTTCAATCGAAAAATATTATGCTTTAATGACTATTTAGGTTTGCTTCACATTTGGCACCTAGGTATCTTAATATTTGTCATTTGAAGTAAGTTAATATTTCTCTAAAATAACGATCACGAAATACCGATACATTGTTTGATCCTTCAATCCAAAAATATAATTTTTTAACGTCTATTTAGGTTTGCTCCACATTCGGTGCCTAAATGTCTTGTTTTACTTCGAGCGATTATTTTGCATTGCATCGTGTGTAGAAAAAATTGTCAGAGAGGTGCAATGTTTTAGACAAATAGTTTGCAGCCTTTTAGGAACGAGTGAACGGCATTACAGATCTCTACTGTGGATTTCCAGAGTGCAAGGTTGTGTGCCAATGGAAGAGGGCAGTTCGTTTTATGTAATTTTCTGACGATGGTGGTTCTCTGGCTATCGAATTAAATGTCTTAATACCTACGATTTGCATTAATTTAGGTACTTCTCTAAAGCAACGACCACGAAATACAACAGCTAGCCCCGAATCCAAAACTACTCCTCCCCTTCCAATCAAAATTCCACTACGAAAAGTCAAATTTCCAAAACTATTTATCCACCCTAATTTCTATCCAAACACTCGAAATTTCGACTCGTTAGTCTTGCTGTCCTAGCTTCATAATTCCCCGAGAGAAGTAGCTTCGCCTTTTTTATTTACTTTTCCAAAGGGATTACAAATCCCCTTTAACAGTCACGATTCGATTAATAAAACTGGAGAAACGGGGGGAATATTACCGCGGCGGATAATCCAAACAGCCTCCAGCCGTCATTAGGTCGTAACAATAGGAAGAAACAATAGATAAAATGGAGAAAGTAGTAGGAACATCGGCTTACGCCGTTGCTTACGAGCACAAGTAGTTAAGGGATTAGAGGACTTTTTTAAATCTGCAAACAGCCGTGGCTAGGGAAGGAAAGGAAAAGAAAAAATAAAAGGGTTAGAGAGGAAGAATCTATCCTGGGCTGTGCGGATGTTACCCGTGAAATCCGGTCGTAAACGACGACGGCTCAATTTTTCGAAACGCTCAACCCTTCCGCTACCTGCTGTCACAGGTCAAACAGTCGCGCCGATTCCTTTTTTACGGGGGAAAAAGGAGTTTTCACGTTCTTGGGCTCCAATTGGAAAGAATTATTAAATTCGCAATTATTGAATTATCAACGTCGCTGAAATTCGACGCTGGATCGCTGAATTTCAACGATGGATCGCTGAATTTCAACGCTGGATCGGTGAAATTCAACGGTGAATCGCTGAAATTCAACGGTGGATCGGTGAATTTCAATGCTGAATCGCTGAATCGCTGAATTTCAACGCTCAATCGCTGAAATTCAACGGTGAATCACTGAATTTCAACGCTGAATCACTGAAATTTAGCGCTGAATCGAATCGCTGAAATTCAACGGTGGATCGGTGAATTTCAACGCTGAATCGCTGAATTTCAACGCTCAATCGCTGAAATTCAACGGTGAATTATTGAATTTCAACGCTGAATCACTGAAATTTAGCGCTGAATCGAATCGCTGAATCGCTGAAATTCAGCGATTTGAATAAGAAAACGAAAATTCGATCGCAATATCGACACAGAATTTCGACAAATTTAACTCTTCCTTTGCGTCAAACTTTAAATTTTGCTGCAAACAAAGTGTAATATCTGATGCTTCGTTATATTGCGTAAATTACTGGTATTTATTGAAATTATTTCAAATTAAGTTCGCTATGATTTTTCAATCGCTTCAGATAATTTGAAGAGGCACAAATTCTGTAGAAAAATTGGCAGTAAATTGCGATAGCAAAAATGGTGAAAACAATGTTTTAAAGGGTTAAATAAATACACGTTGTGAAAAGTTAAATATGTCTCGTTGCTTGAGCCTTTCTTTAAAGAGATTTCAACATCTGGAATACCTTCGATTTCTCCTCTCTCCGACTCGTTGACGCGGCTAATTGCAAACACCAGTGCGTTTTTTGTGTGCTCTCGCGATTAAGCTTGCCAGAAAGCGCGATAATCCCCCCTTAGGAGCCTTTCGACGCGCTAATCCTTCGCTCTGTCGTCGGATTACAAGATGTAAACGGCGAGGTCCTCGTCGTAAACGAGCCGTAACACCACTTCTCTCTCTCTCTCTCTCTCTCTCTCTCTCTCTCTCTCTCTGCGTTTCGTGAAAACACCGTGAGTCTGTATACACCCCTTTCTCTACCTGAGACACCCTCTGCAGTCGAAGACTTCGTCGACTTCCGGCTGAGAACGGGGTTTCAGTGGAAGTAAAATCGATGTACGCGTGTATGTAAAATGATTTTTGCGTACGAGTCAGAGGGAGAGAGAGATTTTGTCTTCTTTTCTCTCTTGCTTTAAGATTGGATAGAGAAGAAATGGACGGATTTCGAAGGGAATATTTTTATAAAATCGCGACGAGGGTATCGAGAGTGAATTTATATGTTAAACGAACCGAAGTGACAGTTTCCTTTCAGCCAAGTGAGACACTCTCGAGCAAAGTGAGAGATACTTTATGCTTGCGAACGAGAAAGTGACTTAATATTGGGAAAAGAGTTCCTTTTTTTTTTCTTTTTTCTTTTAGAAGGAGCGATCGTGACTTTTGTAACCTGCGTTTTGTATTTCCTTAAGAAACTTCTATCGGCACACGAAATTCTGATTCTGCGGAAATTTATGCGAGGCTGGAATAGAATTAATTTTCTCAGTTTAACGACGATTCAAAATTAAAATAAAATAATCAAAGAACGTGTGAAAATTCTCACATTATATTTGGAAATTTGCAAGATTCGAACTTGTGAAATTTAACTCTTTGCGAACGAAGCACTTCCATATTTCTACTTTTCTTTTTTTTAACTAAAAAATTATATTTTCCTCAAACTTACACGAGCCGATGCCCACACGTCAACTACTTTTATTACTTAAAGATATGTAAAATTCGTAGTGTTCTGTGATATACGAATTGGTCGTCGTGAAACGGTTAAGATTATGCAATTAAACACGCTGAACGAAGGACTACAGAAAGAGCGGGTGACAGATAGAGCGAAGAAGGATACTATATAGGGGGTCCCCATCCAGTTCTACGGTGTATTGCACCAGGAGCGGTGAAAAGTGGTTGCCAGCTGAATGGCCGGTGTTTTACAACAGTGGCGAGAACCGAATAACCCTCGTGGCTTTGTTGAATCGCGGCCTCACGAATGTACCTGCGGTAAAAATCAGCCACTACTGTGCGCACAAGGACCCATACAGGCACCGTAAAGGGTTGAAGCGCCATAAAACGAGCCATTATCGGCTTGGAAGGGAGGAAAAATGTCCAGTTACGCTTCTTCACCGGCCTCTTTAATGGCACCCTTATTACCGATTCCTCCGTCGCTGGATTTGCCTTCTTTTTTTTCCTTTCTTCTTTCCTTTTTTCTTTTTGTTCCCGATCTTCAGTCCGTGAGCATAACTGTTGTTTGACGAATAGAAGTTGAAGTGTGTTCAGAAATTTGGAAGTTTGGACGTCTGTATGTTGTAAAATCCTGAAAATTTGTAATCTAAAAAATTTTCAATTTCGAATTTCACAATGTTCAATTGTTTACACTTTGAAGTCCTGAAAATCTGGAGCTCTTGAAATCCACCTGAAGTCCTCCAAATTAAATCACAGAAATATCAGAATCTTGGAGATTCCTAAAAGTTCTAATTTTCGAATCCTGAAATCTTCAATCCTTTACACTTCAAAATCCTGAAAATTTGGAGCTCTGAAATCCACCCGAAGTCCTCCAAATTAAATTACAGAAATATCAGAATCTTGGAAATTCCTAAAAATTCTGATTTTCGAATTCTACAATCTCCAATTCTGTACAGTCTAAAATCCTGAAAATCTGGAGCTCTGAAATCCACCTAAAACCCTCGAAACTAAATTACAGAAATATTACAATCTTCAAAACCCTAAAAATGCCATTTTTTCGAGTCCTAAAATCTTCAATTCATCAAACTGAAAAATCCTGAAAATTCCTAACCTCAAAACCTCCCTAAAAATCCTCTAAATTCCAGAATCTACCGTTCCGAACCCCAAAATTCCCTCCAAGAACCAAACGCAACATCTGAAATTTACTCTTCCTGGAGTCTCGACTTTCAGACAAACCAAGTTCCACGGAACTTCTCTCGAAAACGATCGAAGCAAGTAGGCACCTACTTCGAAAGGCGAAGAAACGATCAAAGAGAGATGAATTCTCGCGTACTCACCTGTGGGCACATCTTGCACTGGTACTTCCTAGGCGGATGAGAGTGCGGTGCGCCAAGATGTGGGTTGAGATGCGACGGATGCGAGGGTTTCACGGTCAAAGGTTGAGGAACCACCAGCAGACTCGCCGGAGGACTTCCGCTGCTCGATCCTCCAGCGCCTCGGTATTGATCGTCACCTGAAATCATCGATCACAACAGGGGATCTCGTTAGAAACGCAACCTTCGACTGATCACCTTCCTACTTTGGAACGAGTTAATCCTGTTTCGCGGTAAATTAATCGTCCGTAATCTTAATTGGGTCGATCTTCCACGATCCACATATATCCGATCTTACGATCTAAATCTCTCAGCGATCGATATATAAATGCTACCGTTCTTTACATTTCTAAAATTCACAAAAACAGTTCTACAATTCTGTTTTTACACGGTCTAGAAAAATAAACTCACTTTCCTTTTTACACACTTTCGTTCGATACTTCGAGCGACGACAGTGATTTTGAACCAGTCTTACGCAAGCGAACGCGTATGATATCCGATATTCCTGAATTTCTCATCACTTTCAATTTACATATGTTACTTTTGCTTTAAGAATTCAACTACCTTTTGTTCTTATAAAATAAACTGTGCAAGAGTGCGCATACAAATCAAATTTGGCTGTTTATAAAGACTCTTGATGAAGTCTTTTGTACGAATCCTTTTATTTTAGCTATTTTTTACAGGATTCAAGGGTGTGGAACCAATCCCCTATTTTTCTATGCACACTGCCGGCCAAAAGTATGGAATCACCGAGCACTGCAATTCACACAAAAATTTGCTGAAAAAAGTCAGCGACTTTGAACATTTTTCATTATTAGAATCAATTGATAGGAGAGAAATTGATAAATGTAGAATTGAGATAAACTTCGAATCTGTAAAAACTTAGCAGCAGATTTAATATCGATGAAAAGTGGGAGGTGATTCGAAACTTTTGGCCGGCAGTACACGATGTCCTGTTTCACACGTTTTCTTCTGGGACGTGTCTACCGTGTAAAAACAGAATTGGGTGTGTTTTTCTTCAATACCCAATCTAACGATCTTAATCTCTCAACGATCGATAAATAAATTCTACCGTTGTTGAAATTTCTAAAATTCACAAAAACAATTGTCCGTCGTTTCTCCTTTTCTTCTAACGAAAAATCAGCTCTCTGTTTCAATCGCTTCTTGTCGATACACTAAAATAAAAAAGGAGATTACGAAGCAACAGGTAGGAGAAAAGAGAATATCTCGATCGGGTAGATTGGTTAATTAGCCGGTAAACTCGATTACTATCGCAGCAAGTTTGAAAACATTTAATCGCCACGAAAATTTTCTTCTGGTCGCAAAGATCGGTGTGTGCACGAACGTAACAGCAGCATTATAGTGGAGAGAAGTGTTTTATAGCCGGTCTCAGATTAGAAAGTCACTATCAGCGGGAATAATGTTTATTTATTAAACATTGCCGGGAATTAACGTTGCAACAGTCGGAGAAATTTTGTTACCATTAGATAATACGTCAATTAAAGTATGTACACACCGTTGGTGGACGAAGATATATGGGAGAGAGAGAGAGGAAAGAGGAAAAAGGGTTAATGCATAAACGTAAAATGCAACGGTAGCAGCTAATAATTCGAGGAATTCTGCATGGACGTTTTATCGTTGCGAACGATCTCGAATAAAAGGGTTATAATTGGAGAGCATTACACGATGGCCACGGAAATAAATTGTAAAGTTGGAAAAATGTCCCCTTTTTCCTGGTGTGTTGCTAAACCGTGTTATATCTACTTTTGCTACTCATTCACCGGCGATGGACAATTCTAGATAAATTCGAGGCATAACTCTTAGGATAGGTACCCGCACGAGAAGTAATAAAGTACGTTTAATGTATTATTTGTTAAGGATAGTAGGCGAGATAAGCCACTGTTGCAAGAAAATTTATGCTCTTTGTTACAAGATTGTTACTATCTGTGTTATTGGAAAACAAAAAATCGGGGGATTAAGAGAACCGCGGATATCGCCGAAAAATTACGAAACGTTTTAAGTTTGTGCATTGGAAGGATTTTTTTATTTTTTTTTTATTTTTTTTTTAAGAGAGAATTGCCAAATCACCACTTTACAATGGTGCACACGTTTGTGAGTTTTATAATGGTGAAGTTAGTAAATCGCCGCTTTAAGATGGTGCAAAAATAACTAATTGTTTTAAGGATGAAATTACCAAATCGCTACTTTGCAACGGTGCAAAAATTGCCAATATTTTTCAATAAAAATAATACCAAATCACCACTTTAAAACGGTGCAAAAATTCTAAAATCACCACTTTGCAATAGTGCAAAAATTGCTAATATTTTCAATGAGAAAATTATCAGATCACCACTTTGCAATGGGGCGAAATTTATAAATAACAAAATTCCCAAAGCACTACTTTACAATGGTGCAAAAATCCTCAATTTTTATCAATAAAAAAAATACCAAATCACCACTTTGCAATAGTGTAGAAATTGCCAATATTCTAAATAATAAAAATACCAAATCACCGCTTAGCAATGGCGCGAAATTTATAAATAACAAAATTCCTAAAGCACTACTTTACAATGGTGCAAAAATCCTCAATTTTTTCAATAAAAATAATACCAAATCACCACTTTAAAACGGTGCAAAAATTCCAAAATCACCACTTTGCAATAGGGCAAAAATTGCTAATATTTTCAATGAGAAAATTATCAGATCACCACTTTGCAATGGGGCAAAATTTTTAAATAACAAAATTCCCAAAGCACTACTTTACAATGGTGCAAAAACCCTCAAATTTGTCAACAATAAAATTCCCAAATCAGCACTTAAAAACAGTGCAAAAATCGCCAATACTTTCAAATAAAAAAGTCACCAAACCTTATCGCACAATAAACGGTGCGATTTCTAAAACTCCCTTCCCTTTAAACACACGAAACATTCACCTGTTCCGTGAAGGAAGAAATAGCCGAGTATTAAATTCTGTATCGATTGATTTAACGTCGAATTAATATTCAAAGAAATATTCGAAGTCGATGATCCACGTAACTATTCCACGTAGCGATAAGTCGCGTCGAGGCTAATTAATGGACGGTGTACCGCCCGAGATATGAAGAATTGCACACGGATATAGAGAGAGAGAGAGAGAGAGAGGCACGCGGATCGATTGACGCAAGAGCTGGCAAGGGGCAAGGATCCTGGCAGGTTGCAAGGACGAGTGATCCTGCGTTACGAGTGGCTGTCATTAAAGTCGAGTTCTCGATATCGAGATCGAGCCACGCCGCTGTTACAGGTGCATCCGCCGAGTGTGTGCGTTAATGTAACACACTTCGATCCAGCTCCTTCTGTTTCACCTCCATTAAAATTCTTCTTTTACATCTGAAAATTATTAGTATCTTGCTTTCCTATTATTCTCCTTCTTCTTATCCTTCTTATCATTCTCGGTATTCTTATTCTTCGCCTTCTTTTCATTATACTTCCTTCTTCTTCCTCTTATTACACTTTGCTTCTTCTCTCTTCTTTTTAATCTGAAAATTGGTGTTATCTCGATTTTCTGCTGTTCTTGTTCTAATCCTTCTTATCATTCTCGTTCTTCTTCTTATTAATGCCATTATTACCATTGTACTTTGCTTCTTCTCTGTTCAAATATTTTTTCATCAATCTGAAAATTGGTGTTGTCTTGCTTTTCTGTTATTCTTGTTCTTATCCTCCTTATCACTCTCATCACTCTTATTCTTCTTCTTATTAATACTATTATTACATTTTTCTTCTTCTCTATTAAAATATTTCTTTTGAAATCTAACAGTTAGTCTTATCTTGCTTTTCTCCTATTCTTATCCTTGTCATTCTCGTTATTCTTCCTATTGCTATTACTATATTTTGCTTCTTCTGTATTAAAATATTTTTTTTTAATCTGCAAATTAGTGTAATCTCGTTTTCCTATTATTGTCCTCCTATTCTGTTTCTCCTCCATTAAAATTTGGAAATAGTTATTATCCTCCTTATCTATTCCTCTTCCTCTCCTTCCACCTCTTAACCCTAGAGCGGTCTTCGGGTCTCTTTTGACCCGCCGCCTTCTTATATTTTCAGTAACTTTCGCTGTTATCGAGTTTACGTTCCTTGTCCAGGTTCATATGTCGCGTTGGACCCAAAAATGATCACACACGAGGTCTCAGGTCCTTTCTCACCCAAAAGTCTTAAGTGTACCGTCAAAACCAAGATTTTCACTTCCTCTCATTTTTATTCCAGTGAATATTTTTTAAGAACATTATTTCCTCGCAAAATTTCTCCCCCAAATCTCACCTACATCCGCCCTTCCCAATTCCTCGATCTCGTTTCCAACCCAAACAAATTCCCCGCGAAATCTTGAAAATCTTCAAAAGACAATCCTCGCGGCAGTTTCACTTCGCACAGAATCGAATCCCCGAGAAAGTACACACACGCACCGCTCCGATCGTTAAAATCATTTCATTACGAGAGATCTCGATTTTCTAAAAGAGAGGAGAAGAAGAAGAAGGCGAAGAAAAGGAACACGGACGTTTCGCACGCCACAAGTGTACCGACTTTCATTACGCATTACGCGTTGCCCGTTTTATGGCTATTTCTCCATTAATTCCTTTTACCTCCCCGGTTCGAAGACCGTCCCTTTCCTGCAAGATGAATTCTAGCACGGCCAAGAGAGTCCAATTGCCCGGCCTCGCTCCGAGAAAAATGAACGAAGAGTAAAAAGGGCGAAAAAGAAGAGGAAAAAAAGAAACGAAAGAAATAACTGGGCGGAAGCATTAGGAGCATTAAATGGAGGAAGCTGTAATGAATTACGTATCTGATCTGTTTCCTGCCAATAAGAGAAAAACCTCGTTGCTCGACCTTGCCTCAGACATCTTTAAAAATAAGATTCAATTACTGCAGCTAGCCTGATCGGCGACCAAATTACCTTGCAGCTTTAAAACCGCCCCTCAAACAATCTCTCCGTCTTTCCTTCTCCTTTTTCCTTCCCCCTCTATCTCTCCTCGATACAAAGATTCGTCCAATTTTCAACGAGAATCGCACACGTTTACCTTTAACTCTTTCATTCTGCCTGTTCCCACCCTTTTTCTTCCTCTCTGTTTCAACAAATTAAGCGTTTCGTCTTAACACTTAAAGCGCCGCAATA